TGTACTCTATCTCTCCTGAAAGTTTGTAACCGCTGTACTGATACACCCTGTATATGCTCTCCACCGTAAATTAATACTGGCTTGCCCCTGTACATCATACTTTTCCTTTAGCAATAGAGTCGTGCCGGTCATTTATATAGCTCCTTTCAGGGGAAAATTTTTGAATTAAAATAATAGCGGGACCTCCTGCCCCTATTCTTTCCATATCTAGTCTCGTCTTTATCTATCTAAATCTTTCTTGAGATTAAGGAGAGACGGATGATAGTGAGAATTTATAGGTCTACACTTTTTCCAAATTTCAGCCCAAAAAATGCTAATAAACTACATTTACTTTTAGTTATCATTTCATTCTTTTCTTGAAAGTCTTATTTTAATGATAGTGTACGTCTTTTATTTGATAATGATTTACTTTCAAAGTCATATTTAAATTTTAAAATAATATTAAATATAAAGAAAAAGAAGAAAAATGCAAGATAGCATTACTAATTTATATACAAGATAATCGCTTATTTCAATCTGTTATCATTTCTTTATAGATAAAGATGCAGTAAACACAGCAATTGTAATATCGTGATTGGAATACCAGTCGTTATTTATTGCCCTGTTGGCAAGATAATTTTAAATGAATCAAATGAAACAGATGTTTAGTGTCTTATCAAATGTAGAAGTTAATTAGTAAATTTAGTAAATTACTAATATTGAAATTTCGACGAGTTGTAGTTTCCAGGAGAAATGCCCCATAAAATTTTCAATTTCTTTATTTAATTAAATAATATCAATAATTTTCATGTCTATAAACTAATTATTAAAGTTATAACTATTTATATATTTGTTACTGTATAACTTTACGTAAACACTTTTGAAAACATGGAAATATAAAGACTTTGTGCATGTATTAAAGATAGAAATCATAATTAATTTTCAGTTTTCTCTATATTTTATCGTAATCTCATTAATTTGATTTAAATTTTCGGACTTTATATGAGCAAAATACATTGTATATTAACTGATAAATCCATAATAATCTAGTTGAATCATGGGCAACATTTATAAACTCAGAGTAATCTTTCTAAGACTGTCTTCACAATAAGTATAAGTAAATAAACTTTATTTATTTATGACAATTTAAACAGCAAGCTTTCTAACATTGTATGTTATAGCTTTTATAGTATCTGACATATTTGACGATGTAATTCATGGAATAAGGCAATGTAACACCTAGACGATCTGCCTCCTGGGAGGACTTTCTATAGGAAAATGACTCCTAATTAGCTGTTAAACATGTGAAGAAACCTGGAAAACTCCACATGGGATAACTGCGTGGAGTTTTTTGGATAGTTACCCGCAACCAATTACCAGTATTCTGTGGTTTGTCTACTCAGTCACTGTTAAAACCTATAGTATAGTTAAAATTAACCAGTTTTCGATAATATTTAGATATAATATACAAAAAATGATGAAAGATTTAAATGAAAAAGATATGATAGAATGTAAATTTTTAGTTTAATACAATAGAATTGACACGTAAAGATCATTACCTCAATACAATAATAACTGCCAATAATAGATTATACAATAAAATAATAGCAAAAATTTTTCTAATATCTGTAAAAATTAATCCTATAAAAACAAAACAAATTTAAAAATATATATTAATTAAGTTATAAAATTGAATATTTTTTCTACGTAAAGGAAAATATATATGAAATTCATAATTTAACAAACAAAAATACTCGTTAAAACACTTTTAATATTCCTCCAATAATAATTCATGTAAATTCTTACAACGTAGAAGTATTTATAATATATTAATAGATTTATAATTAGATTTTAAGTGCTTCCAACGTAAGATAATTCAATAAAAGCTAACATACACAAGTTTACTTTGATGTAGTTCAATTACACACGAAGAAATATCTTACAGTAATATTTTAATTATTATTAACAGAGTAGGAAATTCAAAAAAAACATCCCAACTGTAAATAATTCTAACATTATCACTTATTAAAAGTCTTTTATTTTAAACATTAATTAACATTAATAACAACATAAATAGCATAATGAAATAAATTATATATATTTAATAATATTAATTAAGTATTCCAAACATTCGATCCTTGGCCTAGAAAACTACTCTTTTTATTTAATTAAATCCTTCTTTATATATTAAAAGTTTTTTTTATTTAATTAATTTTTTTCTATGAAAGCTGAGACTTTTAAATTTTGCATAATTAAAGAACAGGTCTTTCTTAATGGATTTTTTTTTTTTTATAAATTTCATTTTGTGATTTTCTATATTTTTGTCAATCACTAATTTAATTTATTATATTATTGAATATTTTCACTTTAATATTAGAAGATTGAATTTTCAATGAGGAAAACAGCAATGAAAAAATCTGTGGCTGAGGAAAATATTTTACATTTTATTCAATCGTTTTCGATTATTTTAACATTATAACAAATCTGGATATGAAATAAAATGGAAAGAAATATGAAATAATATATCATAAAATACGAAATTTCTTTATTGTGTGAAGAATCTATGGCTTTAAATCAAGTTAAAAAAACGTTGTGCCGCTAANTTTTTCCCCCTCTTTTATAAAACTCATCTCTACTCTGAAAATTAAGCTTTTTATAGTTTTATAATAATTAATAATATAAAAATTTTTAAAAATAAAGTCAGATAACGAATGGCGTCGTACAAAATTTTGACTTTTTTGCCAGAAATGTTACTGAACTCTTTTCTGGACTTTTATAGAATGTAATCAAATTTAGTATTGTAACATTTTGGAACACGAGAAAATATTTGTGTTAAAGAAAAAAAATAGTATTAAAACTCATCACTGGCACTTTTGTTTTGCAAGTAACGAAAAAGCAGTTTTTTTTATTTGCATAAGCATATCGAATGCAGCCAAGTTCTGAGTATAAAAGTGGCCACAACTATTGAATATTATTGTTATCATCAGTTTCGATGGCCATCACTTTGACGCATTTCTTGTGAAACTATTTTATGGAAATAACAATAATGCTAAGGATACACTTCGGAAAATACGCCGTGATCCATATACTTTCCAAGCTCTGAGAAAAAGGATAATTCGATTTGAGAAAGCTAGAATTATGAAAGTATAACTCTGTCGAGGTCACTAAACTACCACGTGCAACGTACAGCAATTAAGCGTATTCTATGGCAAAGCTTATAATATACTGAGAAAGTTGGTTTATCGTTATTCGTATAAAATTAGCCACAATCGGCTTAATAGACAGGAAAATCTGATCTTGTTCTTGATCCCTGAAAGATCCTATAAAACGAAGAGACATCATCATCTCAGTGGCACAGTGAACATCGTAACAGTCATATTTAGGCCAATGAAAACCACCTCGTTCCTCATCTCTTGTTGATTCCATTGCACTTGTTAAAGTTACAGCCACATATTTCCTTGCACAATTCTTCGAAGAAACTAATCCTAATGAACCTGTGACAGCCCACAAATACCGAGAGATGTTCGATACTTTCGTTTCATCCCATTGCAACAGGAGAGTTCTTGAGACCACATCGTACAAGAATACTCTCTATTTCTAATACTGGTACAGAAATTTACGCGAAATTTCACTAATAATAATAATAATTAGTGAGGCGCTTCCTACTGGCTAGCCATCTTGTTCTCCAGATCTTCAGCCATGTAAGTTTTAGTTACGAGAATGATTAAAAACTTGGTTTATCGAGTACGCTATGCAAATTTGGCAACCTTGAAAGACAAGCTCAATTTAAGTCTACCGTTGAACACACTGTTCATGGCTTTCTAATTTTACAATTTCAGAATGAGGAACCAAATTGAGCAGTAACTGCTGCATCTCTGTAGCATGAGTGTCTTGTATAAATAAAACGTTTTTTTACTTGCAGCTCCTAAGTGGCTTAAGGGGAGTTTTCGTACTATTTTATTTATTTATTTTTGGAAATATCGGTTGCATTTGGACTGCTAAATCTCTCTCTAGATACAGTTGAATAAATGTACTTTAATTAAGATCATCCTGTATTTAAAAGTTCCTCATTAAAAGTTTATAAATACGAATTTTAATGATGATAAGCTTATTATTTAATAAAATAAAGAAAAAAAACTAACATGTGAAAGTTATTCGACGTAATTATAATTGTAGTAAAATTTAAGATTAAGTAAGAAACTTAAGAGAAAGTCGAAACGTATGCAAATCAATGATACGCTGGCCTCATATATTATTTCTTTTATAAGCAAACTAATGCTTACGTAACAATTCATAAAAGTATACATAAATTAATATTTAATAATTTAAGAACTTATATAAAAAGGAATGTAAAACCTGTTCAAGAATTTTAACTTACACTTATTAAATTTATTTAAGAGTTTATGAATGTTTATATAGAAAATATAAGCTTATTATAAACTTTTATTCATTTAAGAGCAGAAGAAAGTTACTAGTTACCAATATTTTCAATTATAGACATGAATAACACCGCAAACGTTCCCAGATATAATTTGCATTTTAGTTTCATACACAATACGATCTGATGATGCTGTCGACACGATGTATCTTGGGAATGTGGAAAGTTAACAACGACTAATTTCAGCCTCATGAATTTTGCTTCAAGTAATTTTCCACTTTCAGAAGACACAAAGTGACACTATTTGAGTAATTAACAACTATTTTTACATGTAAAAAAATAAATAACAATTTTAAATTGAATGATATATCCAAAAATCTAATTGTAAATACATAATAAGATTATTTTAAAATTTAAATTAAAAAAATAACAATTTAAACTTTTAAATTTAAATAAAATAATTTATTTTATATAATAAAATTTGTTAAAATAAAAAAATACCAACTTTTATTATGAATATTTTTTTTACAATGTTTATCGAATTTTATATATTTTAAAATATAAAAATTTTGGAAAATTTATATAGATTATATATATATTAATAACCTTAAATCATATAAATAAAAACGGGAATTATACTTACTTCGTGCATTGTTAGAAACATCAATTAAGATTTGTCTATAATTAATATCTTCCTTGGTTTCATCGAAACCACGATGATAATTCTTACTACCCAAAGCTGTAAATAAAGCACCTAAAGTAAAATAACAATCCGAATGACCGTGTATACGCTCTTCGAAATTATGAAAGAGTAAAGCTACAACTTTCCAATTAAACTTTTTCAACACTTGCAAGAATATCAAACCAATTTGCGAATAAGATCCATTCATTCTAGTCAAGAGGCGATAATGAGGTTCCTTAAAATCAAAATTATCATTCTGTCCGGCCGAAGTTAGAAGAGGAACGTTCCAAACTGTAGTATAACGCGCCACAGGAGCCAAAACGTAAGGACAGAGAGGTCCTAAAAAGACATCGGCGCTATCCCTTATGTATAAGTCAAAAGCGGCGAGTGGACCGTAAGTAGAAGAACATTGAGTATCTCTGTATAATACCTGTATTTTTCTTCCGTTAAGAATTCCATTATAGCCTTGTTTTTCTAAAGTTCTAACTGCGTAAAGTACACTGGGTAAAGTTTTTTGAAGAGAAAATGGATAAGTATCGTTGGCAGGCGATAAAACAACAAGATTCACCGTTCTTGTTAAATCGTTTTCGTTGCTACTTGTTTTTTCAGCTGCTGAGTTTGTTAACAGAAGCAGTAGTAGCACTTCCATAGCAAAATTATAGATCGGACATTTCGATGGAGCCACCAAAGTGATGTATACAGTTCGTTCACCATACCACTGATATTAAAGCAGCGATGCTGGCTCCCTCTAAAGGAACATCAAGAAAGTATCGAATATTATAAGATTTACAAAGTATCCAGTCGTAAAGCGTAAAGAAATAAAGACAAAACACCTTAAAAATCAATAAATCATTTAATATAACTCTTCAACAAACTTATGTAATCGCTAGTCGTGTGACAATATCAAACGATAAAACTTATTATTATTACTTATTAACAAATAAATTATGTAGTATAAAAACTCTTTTAATTTTATAAAATATATAAATGTAAACNTTTTTTTTTCATATTTTTTCCGATCAATACTAAAAGTGATGCCGACGTTCAAGTTCTAACACAATACTTCTGCTGAAGTTACACGCGATCAAATTTTAAAATCAAGCAAAAATAAATGTTAAAATCTTTTTTTTTAGATAAATTTCAAAAGAAATGGACTTTAAATATAATAAAATCTATTTTCGACGCTACAAATGTATCCAAATTAAGAGAATTGTCCTATATAAAAGGGGGAAGGATTGTAGAATTAATGGGATAAAGCAATGCACCATGTGGGCGATCTGCCAAGGGGTAGTATTTCCCGGGAGGACTTTTATGGGAAACTGGCACCTATTTGCGTATTAGAAATGTGAATAAAACCCAAAAATTTCACATTGATTTCGTGTTGGACAGGAAAAATACCGTGAACAATTATTAGTGTTCTGTGGTTTATCCACTACCCCGATGATGGACCTTGTAGAAAGGAAGGGGGAAAACTATAAACTAAACAGAAATAAACTTTTATAAATAATTTTAAGTACGTATTAATGATAAATATATTTATTATCAGTTTCCTAAACAGTTTATAATACTAGTACATGATATTTAGTGTTAAAATGTATCAATTTTCATTAGCATATACTTTTGGCTCTTTCCACCTTGTAAGAGCTATGAGGGCCAGATTTCCATAGTCATGTGAGTTCGGCCACACTCACAAAGGACTTACGGGACTCGACATATCTAGCACAGACCATCCCAAACATTTATGGGGCTTATCGATTGTCAAGATTCGACCCGGGTCTCCCCAAAACGGTCGGTTTTCACCTTAACTACCTCGGCTATCCAGCATTCATTTTAATTATACTACAGATGTTTACTAGTACAAACTAAAAATCCAATATACAAAGGATTTCCAACTTAAGAAGTTTCATTTTTTATTTAGTAACGATTAAATTAATATAAACTTTAGCAACTTAAATACAATAGTTCTTAAAATATATACTATTAATATTTTCATTATAATTAGGAGAACTAAAATATATTATTATTATTTTTTCATTATTATAAAAATAAATAGAAGATAATAAAATCATCAGAAATTTGATTTTGTATTTGTATTATTCTAGTCAGGAAAAACATAAAAATGTGGAAAAAAAAAACAATTCGAGGATAGTGTGCTCTTTGATTCACTAGTAAGGAATTCCAAGTAGGTCAGTAATTCTCTGACCACAATTCGAAACGACTAAGCAAGAAAAGTAAGAAATTGCATTAGGTTTTAGACGCCATTAAAGTAATGCTGTCAACATAAATACAAGTTCCGACTTATACTTTAATATAAAAATATATATATATATATATATAATTTAAAATGGTTGTATTCTTTTTTGAAGACCCTGAATTTATATCTATTGGTATTGAATTATAGCAATTCTTCTTATTACTTGAATGTAATAAGCACA